GAGAGGAGGGAAACAGCAGAACAGACCATCAGTTGAATAAAGAGGAGGAGAAGTGAATTAGAGGAAGATTCTAAGGAAAGAAAGAGATTGTTTTGACCCTTGTTCAGAGCTACACCAAGATAACCAAAGTTTGCTCAAATACCACTGATTCTACTGTTATTGCTATTGTATAATAAAAACTGTGGATTTATATGTGGAATTAATCTGCAGAAACTGAAAATTCCTTTTAGTAGTAGTAAGTTTAAGCTACACACACACACACACACACACTGTGAAATGCGGAAGTTTTTTTTTTCTTTTCATTTGGCGTGCGCTATTAAATTCCATAACACTCTCACCAGTACTTACTCCTTGCATCTAATACCCCAGTTTGTCACGGGGCATGAATGAAATGTTCATGAGTGCAAGTGGAACTGCTAAACTGCAGTTAAAGTCACCCAAAATTACAGGAAACTTTTACATGAAAGCACTTCACTTAAACACCTTAATTAATTATATTAATGTCTATTAAAGCAAATAACTAGATAACTGATATCCGTGTAAACGTGGTCAGTAGTGTTTTCATAGTAAGTGAAAGATCCAGAAGGGCATCCTGCAGATTTGATTCAGAACGGCACTTTTTTGTCAGACGGCTCACTAGTCAGGTATACATCCACTCTAAAATATCAAGGTGTCAGTCATCATAGCTTAAGTGGAATAGACCCAGCTCCCAACCCAACTTTGAGATTAGATTAACGGCGAGCCTCACGCTAATGCCAATAACAGCCCACCACTAATGTGTGTATGTGTATGTATATATATATATATAATATTATATTTGTGCAATATTATATATACATTAGATTAGTCAGTAGTGAAGACAAATGTGCCGCTTATCTAACAAAATAACTTACGATAAAAATTGAAATATTTAGTTTTTGTACGATGTATATTTTGCAATATTTTGCTTGAATTTAAATGTATTATCTTTCAGTTTGTAAATATGTTTGATTAAAATAATATTTAAATAAATGTATCTGTTTAATAAATGTGTTTGCTCAAATGCACCATAATACATTGCCTATATTCACTGAGAAATGGATAAAAATGATTGTTTTCAAAATAGGGTGTACTCAATTATGCTGAGCACTGTGTGTATTTATAAGTGATTATTTAAGTAAGTGGTTATTTTGACCATATCATCATAATTTCCAAGTTCAAGCTGTATAAACGTGAATGCTTATTGAATTAAAAGCATATCAGGTGATGTGTATTTCTCTATTAAGGGAGGGTGTGGCTTAAGGAAATCAAGGTGCACATAATTTCTTCTCTTCAGGAAAAATTGGTTAAAAAAGACACTGTACTTACTCTGAAAAGGGCGAAGCAGTGGCGCAGTAGGTAGTGCTGTCTCCTCACAGCAAGAAGGTCGCTGGTTTGAGCCTCAGCTCAGTTGGCGTTTCTGTGTGGAGTTTGCATGTTCTCCCTGCCTTCGCGTGGGTTTCCTCCAGGTGCTCCGGTTTCCCCCACAGTCCAAAGACATGCGGTACAGGTGAATTGGGTAGGCTAAATTGTCCATAGTGTATGAGTGTGTGTGAATGTGTGTGTGGATGTTTCCCAGAGATGGGTTGCAGCTGGAAGGGCATCCGCTGCGTAAAAACTTGCTGGATAAGTTGGTGGTTCATTCCGCTGTGGCGACCCCGGATTAATAAAGGGACTAAGCCAACAAGAAAATGAATGTAAAAAGTCTCAAATGACTCTGAAAAGTCAAAATTTGTATAAAAAAAATAAATAAATAAAGGCTTTCACATGGATGCAGCACTCCTGAAATATCAAAGATAGTGGGCCATGATCACAGAACCATCAAATGTATTATAGCAAATATTTAACAGCATCGCAAAAAACGTGTCGAGAAGAAAAAAGATGCCAATTCACAGACAAAGATTTGACAAGAATCAAACATGAGCATACCAGGACCCATTATCCACCAGTGCTGCCATACTCCACAACTGCAACCTGCCTTGAGTGTCAAGTAGGAAGTGTTCAGTTCTCAGAGACATGGCCATGGTAAGAAAAGCTAAAACCCAACCACCTCTGAACAAGACACATAAGTTGAAGCGTCAAGAATGGGCCAAGAAATATCTGAAGATATTTTAAAGCCGGTTTTGTGGAGTGATGAGATAGATGGATGGGCACGTGGTTGGATCAGTAATGGACACAGAGCTCTACTCTAACCCAGACGCCATCAAGGTGTAGGTGGGGTACTGGTATGGGCAGGTATTAAAGATGAACTAGTTTGACCTTTTCGGGTTGAAAATAGAATCACTATCAACTCTCAGACCTACTGCCAATTTATAGAAGACACTTTGTTCAGGCAGTGGTACAGGAAAAACTCCACATCTTTAAAAAAGACTTTGATTTCTTTGCAAGACAACGCTCCATTATATGCGTCAAAGTACTACACTGGGTGACTGGCCAGTAAAGGCCTTAAAGATGAAAAACTTATGACATGGCCCCCTTCCTCACCTGACTTAAACCCAATTCAGAGTTTTGGGCTCTTCTTAAACAGGAGATTTACAGTGAAGGTAAACAGTACACCTCTCTAAACAATGACTAGGAGGCTGTGGTTGCAGCTGCACAAAAAGTAGATTCTGACCAGATGAAGAAAATAGGTGAATAGGCGGCGTGTGACTGTTATCGAAAAGAAGGGTGGCTATATTGTTCATGTGGTATTTTTTTTAATTTCAGAAATGTTTAATGTCTGAAATGTTTGTAAATTTTGAGTTTGTTTATTATTCTCACTTTAACAGGTTAAAATAACCAAGTGAGATAGGAAAATCTTTGTTAATTATTTAGTCGCAAAATAATTCTGCACAATAATGGTTGCCTAATAACAGTGTACATGCAGTTATTCTCTTTAAAAAAGCCAAAGCTTCACTTTTGCTACTTAAATGTTCAGGTTTGAGGGCTTCTTAACATTTTGGATTGACCAAGAACACTAGTTGTACAATAACAAAATGAATTCTCAAAAATACAACTTGCCAAATAATTGTGCAGTGTATATACACACTCACCGGCCACTTTATTAGGTACACCTGCTCGTTAACGCAAATTTCAAATCAGCCAATCACATGGTCAAGACGATCATTTCGTCTCGAGGAAGAAAGGTGATTTAAGTGACTTTGAACGTGGCAGGGTTGTTGGTGCCAGATGGGCTGGTCTGAGTATTTCAGAAAATGCTGATCTAATGGGATTTTCAAACACAATCATCTCTAGGGTTTACAGAGAATGACACAAAAAAAGAGGAAATATCCAGTGAGCAACAGCTCTGTGGGCGCAAATGCCTTGTTGATACCAGAGGTCATACGAGAATGGCCAGACTGGTGCGAGCTGATAGAAAGGCAACAGTAACTCAAATAACCACTCGTTATAACCGAGGTCAGAAGAGCATCTCTGAACGCACAAGACGTCCAACCTTGAGGCGGAAGGGCTACAGCAGCAGAAGACCACAAGTTGCCACTCCTGTCAGCTAAGAACTGGAAACTGAGGCATCAATTGTGTAAAACATTTGCTGGAATAACTGGCGATTTAATCCGCTGTGGCGACTTCTTAAATAAAGACTAAGCCAAAGGAAAATGAATAATTCTGATATTATTATGACATATATGATACATATGTTTGTTCAATCTTTTACAGCATTGTCGTTTACTACCCCAATACTAGTTTTATTAACAGTTTTGTCAGTAACTTAATTTCTGTATATTTTATTACTTTTATGACTTTCTTTTTACTTTAAAGAAAAGGAGATATGGAATGTTATATTTGTAAAGCATTGTCTTCTGTTTCTTGTTAAAAATGCTTGTCAATGGAAAAACATAAAGAAAAGTTTCTTTATCAAAAAATATGTTATATTTGTTAATAACTTTAACAACAAACTGCAATATGGCCTACACACGATTTTCACAATTTTGTGCATTTTTAACAGGTGCTCAATTTTCACAAAAATGAAATACCACAAATTTAATAATAATAATAATTCCTTACATTCATATAGCACTTTTCTAGACACTCAAAGAGCTTTACACATTGTCTATATATGTTAATAGACATATATTATAGTATATGTCTATAAACAAAGAGAAAACTATTAACTTTTAGCATATGTCTATAGACTGAAGTCATTGCATTTTGGAACAGAGATGAGGTTCTCAATGTGAATGGGTATCTTGGCTCTAGGGGTAAGATCAAGAATCTTGGTGTGATTCTGAAGTCAAATCTGCATTTCAGTAGTCAAGTCAAAGCGGTAACTAAATCAGCATATTATCATCTCAAAAACATTGCAAAAATTCAGGATTTAGAGAAACTTGTCAATGCCTTTATCAGCAGCAGGGTGGATTACTGTAATGGATTCCTTACTGGCCTTCCCAAAAACACAGTCAAACAGTTGCAGCTCATCCAGAAAACTGCTGCCAGGATTCTGACTAGAACCAGAAAATCAGAGAACATCACACCACTCCTCAGAACTTTACACTGGCTCCCAGTTACATTCATAGATTTTAAATTATTATTACTGGTCTATAAATCACTAAATGGCCTAGGACCTCAATACATTGCAGATATGCTGACAAAATAGAAACCTAATAATTGCTTCAGATCATTAGAATCAAGTAAATTAGAATTTCCCTCCGCTGGAATCAACTTCCAGAAATGATCAGATGTGCTCAAACATTAGGCACATTCAAATCAAGACTGAAAACACATCTGTTTAGCTGTGCCTTCACTAAATGAGCACTGTGTAACGTCCGACATATTGCACTATATAAATATATATTTTATATATATATATATTAACTTGCCTAATATAATACATATGACAGTATAATAGGTGATAAAGATCCTGTTTCAACACTAAGTCTTGAAATTTTTCTAAAAATAGCTTTCATTTCTAGCATTTAAGTGTTATATTCAGCCATCTAAGTTATTGGATTTGAATGTGTGCACATTAAAATAAAGAACAGGCTCGCTGAGAATATAAATAGATTTATGAATGGATGGGTGAAGAGGAATAAACAGCAGGAGTGTGTGTTTTATACAGGTGGTGTGTAGAGGATCTGTCCGCTGCTCAGTCTCCTCATCAGCTCTTTCCACAGCAGTTCTCTCTCCATTTGCACTCCTTTCATGAAGCCGCGGTTCTCCTGTGCTCGACGGGACAGATAGGGGATCACCTCGTTCACTGGACCATACGGGACGTACTTGTACACCGGAAACCCGGCCTGAGCTACAGATAAGAACAGAGGACCAATAAAAAATAATAAACTTAAAGAAATGAATAATGATTAAATAAATAAATGTGATATACAAAAATGATTTAAAGAGATAAAACATTTTTAAATACTAAAAACTTCATAAAAATATTTACATGAAAAAATAAATATGACAAATAATAACTTGACTTCTAGTTGATCATTTAGATTTTTCTGTTGAACTGCATCCCAACCATCAGAAATACTGCAAAAGACCTATTGGAACCTGCATGGACTCAAGATTCTCACAGAAATCAGTCAAGTTTGGTGAAAGGAAAAATCATGGTTTGGGGTTACATTCAGTATGGGGGCCGTGCGAGAGATCTGCAGAGTGGATGGCAACATCAACAGCCTCAGCTATCAAGACATTTGTGCTGCCCATTACATTACAAACCACAGGAGAGGGCAACTTTTTTAGTAGGAAAGCGCTTCTCATACTTCAGCCTCCACGTCAAAGTTCCTGAAAGCATAGTCTAGGGAAAGGTGAAGGAGAAAGCATTAAAGATGAATCCAAACAATCTTGATGATCACTGGGAGTCTTGCAAGAATACTTTCTTTGCCATTCCTTTACTTATTACTAACTTTAGTAATAAGTGATTTGAGTCATTGCAGAGATGTATGGATGCAGTCCTCCAAGCTCATGGGAGTCAGACACAATATTTTTTGTTTTTCCACTGCAGCATGACTTTATATTCTATATTGAACATTACAAGTGACAAGACATTTGGCTAAGCAAAGTCAGACCTTTACTGTCCTAATTAAATAATTAAAAGTCAAGGCATGGTCATATTTATTTTGCTAAAATAAGCGTCATCTTTGCCTTTGTCTTTCATACAAGCCAACTCTGATACCAAATGATCAACTAGAGGTCAAGTTATTATTTGTTGTTCCTAAAACTTGGATAGGCGACAATACTTTTGTCAGGTAGTGTATAAACAAAAACAATACAATAACAATAATAATTACAAAACAACTAAATTACAATATTATAACAAGTTCTACTAACATTGAAATTAAAAACATATTTTTTTATTATTACTTAGAATTACAATACTAAATTGTACATTTATTTGTATTATGTGAGATATTATGCAATATAGAGTTTTAGTTATAATATATTATAACTAAATAACATATTATTTAGAATAATCATTAGAGAATTATTATCAGAATTATTAGTCCCCCTTTTTCTTTTTTAAGTATTTCCCAAATGATGTTTAACAAAACAAGGGAATTTTCACAGTATGTCAGATTATGTTTTTTCTTCTGGAGAAAGTCTTTGTTTTATTTCGGCTAGAATAAAGCACTTTTTATTCATCAAAGCACTTATTATTTTATCAAAATTATTAGCCCCTTTAAGCTATTTTTGTTTTCGATAGTTTCGTTTTGTGATCTACAAAACAAATCATCATTAGGCATAACTTGCCTAATTAACCTAACCTGCCTAGTAGACATAATCAACCTAGTTAAGCCTTTAAATGTCATTTTAAGCTGTATAGAAGTGTCTTGAAAATATCTAGTCAAATATTTTATTCTGTCATCATGGGAAAGATAAAATAAATCAGTTATTAGAAATGACTTATTAAAACTATTATCTTTAGACATGTGTTGAAAAAAAATCTCTCCATTAAACAGAAATTGGGGGGGAAAATAAACAGAGGGGCTAATAATTCTGACTTCAACTCTCTCTCTTTTGTGTGTGTGTGTATACACACACACACACACACACGCACGCACACACGCACGCACGCACGCACGCACGCACGCACGCACGCACGCACACACATATATATATATATATATATATATATATATATATATATATATATATTTATATATATACATATATATATATATATATATATATATATATATATATATATATATATATCAATGATGCTAACATTACACAGGGTTCTATTTAATGAACAGTCTGGAACTACACTAATGAGACCACTTTAGAAGCTACTTTATAAACACTTCTAGCGAGTGTGTGTGTGGCTGTGTGTGGGTGTGTGTGTGTTCACCTAACGGAAAGCTGATTTGGTCACACATTCCCAGGAGCTGGCCGAAGCACACCTTCTTATCTGTAGGCTGCAGACCCATTTCATTCATCCTGTTAGAGCATATAAACACACAGAGCTCCGTCACACACACTGAAAAAAATGACAGAGGCCCCTTCGGCGAGGTCATTTAACACCGGATACATTCTGCCCATCGCTCACTCAAAGTTTTACACCCTCTTATCACTTACAGCCATTACACGCACCAACAAGACGCGCTCGGAGACGCTTAGGCAGATATTAAGTGTGAACGATGTAAGAGGAGGAGAAACGCTGTGTTTCTCCATACGACATTGAAGATAGAGGATGTTAATGACATTTGTCACTGACACACCTTCGGCAAATGAGGTTTACACCCCTAAGGAATGATTACACAAAATGAATGATCGCGCGCTACATTATTCATTTATACAGATTCATTTATTCCAAGAGAGGGATGTAAAATGGTCCTGGAGAAACAGGATAGCAAAAAGAGCAGACAGTACATTACAATAGAAGTGTGAATGTGAGTTTTTCTTTTCTCTAAAGTTTTGGAATTTTTGTGCAAAACCAGGGCTTGACATTAACACCTGCCAACCCGCCAAATGTGGGTAGTAGAGACGCGCGGATCAACTGAAATGACACACAAATCCATGGCTTCATACACCCGCCACCTGCTCGCACATTTAGTTTTATCTGATATTTGTATCCGCACCCGATCATCACTTTAATAATTTAATTCTTTGTTTTGGGCATGATGATAGGTCACCGTGGATATTAACAGCAGATTCCGTGAGCTATAATCTGCGCATTTCTAAAAGTAAAATATTATGTTAATCGTAAACATTTTTAAATTAACATTTATTTATAAAAACAAAAGTTTGTCTTTGGACATTTTTTTTTCATTTTAAATAGATACAGAAAGTAAAAATAAGACATTTTAGCTTTTACAGACACAGGAACAAGATAACAAAAACGGTGCCACTTTAGCCTAAACGGCAGCTATGTTATGCTTACTTGGCCCTTTTCTTTGCACTGAGCAAAAACAAAACAGCATCTACTGTGCCTGGATTCAGGCGATTCTGTCTTGCCTCCAAAACGTGGCCAGCTGCACTAAATGAGCGTTCGCACCAATGACTGTAAAAAATATGGACGACTTGAGGGCAAAACGGCTGCTTGACGGGCACAATCTGTCGCAAAAGACTGCTGAAATTGGAGCCTTGACATGCGCAGAAGGACTGTCTGATGGAGCCAGAGGAGGAGCCGCGAAAATGAGCGGAGTCGAGCTTCCAACCAAACGCTTTATGTAAAATCAACCACGCCCCCCGAACTTCTCAGCATGCGTTTGCTGTCATATCAACACAAATGGATGTAATAACGTTAACAAATATGAGGGTTTTATATATTCAATTGCGCCAGCTTCGGGCTGCAGCGCATAACCTACTTGCGGCGTCGCGGGCTGATTCCGGCTCGCATGCGGCAGCGCCAGCTCTTTCGGACGCCGCATCTGGCTCGATTGACTCGGGCTGAAATCGGGCAGTGAGTCCAGGCATCCGGAGTAGGTCCAGCAGAGGTAGTCAGTCTGAGCTCTGAGGGGTAAGTCTCCGGCAGGCGAGAATCTAGCCGGAACTGGCCCGAGTGTGTTTTGCTATCTGGGTGGTTAGGCGTGTATCAGCAAACTAATAAAGCCCGAAAAAAGCCCTGACCTTAGCGAATAAACAGTGTTCCACCAGGATCATGTATGTCAGAAACTATAGTTTACTGCTGAACTCATTTTGTCATGGTAAAATAACACAGAAATCGAATAATAACACTTCAGTCTCCTGCCGAAGCTCAGACGCGCTGCTTTGAGAAACTGTCAATCACAGCTGTCAATCACGATGACACGCCCAGCATTAAATTACTGCTAAAAACAAACTGTTTACAAAAATGAAGATCTGCACCTATTTCAGCACAATAACCAGTGCCTTAATCGACCAGAACCATCTTTCGGGACATTTAATTGCAAGTGTAATACATTTTTTTATTTGGGCTCAAGTCTCCTTCATTAACACGAAGGAGGCGGGCTTTATGACTTGTACTGCAGCCAGCCCCCAGGGGGGGATCTAACGGCCGAGACCTTCACTCAAACACAGGCTTGCGGCACACTTGGTTGGCACGCACCGCTTGTTGTAGGAATTAACAAGATTCTCCTCGCAGGGCGCTGCAGTCGTGGAAATAAGACTATATTTATATATATATTTATTTATTTATTTATACTTATATATTTTTTTTATTTTGTTTTACTTTTCTGTATTTTTTGTTTCTTATCCTTTGTATCATTTGTGTTACTAGTTGTACAATGAATATGTATAATTTGTATTCAGGCTACACAATATTAGCACAAATCAATGTTTTATGTATTCCATGTTACTTATGTTAATAATAATAAAAAAAGACTGACGATTCTCAAGGGGAAAAGCTCGGATAGACCTGTTTTTACAGTTTGGTGGTCAACAAACACACTGGAATCTCCGGAGTGAATACTTGCATCACAGACATAAGAAATACATCCACATAAAGCTTGAAATCTTTTAAATTTTTACTTTTAAATGAACCAACTGCACTTGAAAACAAAAGTTTTTTGGCTTTGTAATCTGTATGAAACGAAAGTGAGGTACAGTCTGTTCTGTCAAATGCACATCACGCGACAGCAGCTACTCAAACACCTACAAACTTGTAAACAAAGAGTCGCTGTCATTTCTAGTGGAGATTCGCTATCAAAACCAAGTTGTGAATTACTTCAGAAGACCAGCGCGATCTGATAAAGCATTATCCAAAGGACGATAATGTGTTGAACGACCATAAATAAGGTTGGTGTCGTGATCTCGTTTCTTTCGAGTGTGCATGCGCATTAGCTTTGGTAACCTGAATAAATGCAGATTTTGTTTGATTTGAATGTTTAGAAATGAAACTTATGAGACAGTCGTTTAACTTTATTGGTGATTCCAAGTATGTAATGTAATCGTAACTTAGCAAACAGTTTTGGAGAATTTGATATTTCCCCATTCAGACAGAATGCCCGAGCACAGTGCATGGGAGGCGTTACATAGATGGCCGCTGAGTGAAATAACTTGCCTTAAAGGGACTTTATTATTATGCAGGTGGTCATAAAGTTTTGGCCCATTGGGGATCACAGAAAGAGAGAAATTAAGAGTACTACTGTACCTTCTGAGTGTGTGTTTAACCGTGTCCAGATTGTGCGACGCCACCATGACATTCACTTTCTTATTGCGTTGGATCTCCTCCAGCACGTAATCCAGACACCTGAAAGACACCAAACCGCTCATGATTCACCCTGCATTTGCTCTGCGCTTTCAGCCAACATTTTAACTTGACTGTTGACCGCCAAACACAAAGGCTTCTGAAAAGATCTGATTTATTTTGAAAGCTGTCAGAAATGTGCTTTAATCATAAGAGGCTTACCTACGGCGAGATAAGCCCAGAGTCTAGATAAATCTCTGTTCTGTCAGCACATGCAGTGTCTGAATAAAGCACAGTTCAGGCTAAGTAAGATGTTCCGATAAGGACCTGTATGTCACACAAGTATCTTACCACTGCTGATCTGGACTCACAAGCTACTTGGCAAAAGCAAAGCAAATCTGATTGCAGACGTATTTTGTTTATTTTTGCTTAATTCTCGGTTTTGACACAATGTTGTTCAACTAGATGGATTCTAAGGCACTGATTAAAAATTGGTTTAAAAAAAAGCATGTTGTCCAACTAGACCAGGGGTCACCAATCTCGGTCCTGGAGGGCCGGTGTCCCTGCAGGGTTTAGCTCCAACTTGCCTCAACACACTTGCCTGGGTGTTTCAAGTATACCTAGTAAGACCTTGATTAGCTTGTTTAGGTGTGTTTGATTAGGGTTGAAGCCAAAATCTGCAGGACACTGGACCTCCAGGAACAAGTTTGGTGACCCCTGAACTAGACAGTTCTTAAGGCACTAAATAAAAAATTGGTTAAAAAAAAAAGAGCATGTTGTCCAAATAGACCAGGGGTCACCAATCTTGGTCCTGGAGGGCCGGTGTCCCTGCAGGGTTTAGCTCCAACTTGCCTCAACACACCTGCCTGGCTGTTTCAAGTATACTAAGTAAGACCCTGACTAGCTTGTTCAGGTGTGTTTGATTAGGGTTGAAGCTAAAATCTGCAGGACACCGGCCCTCCAGGAACAAGTTTGGTGATCCTTGAACTAGACGGTTCTTAAGGCGCTAATTATAAATTGGCATAAATAGAAATTAAGACAAGACCAAGTTAAGCAGGTTTCTCGTCTTAAACAAATTCAACGTTATTTTGATTTGGGAATGTTTTTTATTTACATTTTGATAGAGTGGAGGAACTTAGATGTCGATTTCTATGCAAAAACCTAAAAGCGAGTTAGCATTTTAGCATTTCTGGTTCCCTCGTCCCAAAGTCAATGTGTTTTTTTAATGGGATTTCAGTAAAATCGCTTAACTAAGGTCCGTCGCAAACACAAACTCAAGATACTTTCACGTTTAACTCTACGACATCAGTTACATCACACTCTTTAATTTTTAAATCAGTTGTGCTTCTTTAATAGGACGGTTGCTATCATGTTGCTAAATGGGACTACAGGCAGTGTCGGAGACATTAAACGTCACCGAGCAAATCTGGTCTGGAGCGCAGCTCGCTTGCGTTGGGCATTTGGATTTGTCTGTTATTTAAGTATTTTCATGAATAGTATTTTATAGTTTGTATTATTTTTCTAATTGGGAATTTATATTGTGTGTAGATAACTCCTTCACCTGTAAAGGCTGTCTAGACAGATTAATTTGCTAAACATTTATTTTAATTAAACAGCTTTATGAAGATACTGCTTACTATCTTGGCCTGTCTTTGTCCTGCTCTCAATAATACAAACATGTGAATAAATGTGTAAAAAATCATACATATTAACTGTCATTTTAACCTGATCAAGTGATTTTTCGTTGTTTTCTTTTTCTTCATCTGAACACATTTACAACTGCTTTTCGCTGTACTTCATGACATAAAAAGTGTATTGAATGTTGTTCTCAATCCATCATGGAACTTGCAGGCATATAAACTTGTCCCTCATACCTGATTTCTGTCGTCTATTACTAAGGTAAGCGTACTGTGTGCATGCGAGCGATACACTTATTTAAATATGTCTAATAAATATACTATGAATAGGCACATTTATACATACAGTTTTAAAACTTTTACAACAACTGTAAAGCAAAACAGATGTATTCCCACATAAAAACAATCTAAAAGGCACGTAGGTCTATATACAAATGTGTTTTTGCGTATTTATTTGTTTATAACATATGGGGTGGATTATAATATAATTAACTGAGAGGGTAAATCTTTGTCATGGACGATATTTCTAAAAATAAGCTAGAACTGATGGGTGGTACTGATGTCACAGGCGAGCACCCCAAGGGCACTGTAGTCCGTTTATGGCCTAATGTTAGCTTTTTAGTTCTTGCGTTTGCATTTAACATCCAAAAGTGCTCAAAGTTGTATTTTCGTGTGAGGATTATCCGGCTGGACAAAACATGCAAGTGTAATGAACAGTGTTTGAACACAGAGCTTATTATTCGCAATCTTCGAAAAGCCTATGGAATAGGCTTATCGAGGAAACCAGTTTTATGCTAGCAGCCAATTAGCCTACAAGGTAACTTCATAGTTCCTCCACTCTATTGAAACGTGTATTTCCAAGACTATGTGTTCCCTTATCTTGGAAAATGGAATTTTAAAGTGTGATTTGTAAACAAGTAAAATTAAAATAGACATTTAAAAAAATGTGTATACAATATAAAAGAAAGAAAGAAAGAAAATTCTAAAAATAGTCAATTCAATAATAATAATATTATTATTAATAATAATAATAATAATAATAATAATAATAATAATAATAATAATAATGTTTATTTATTTATTTTTAAATAATTTAATTTCTAAACAATCCAGATACATATCATGTAGTCAAATTGTAATTTGGACAAGTTGTAAGTTGTAATTTTCAAGACAATAACAAACACAACACACACAACACCTCACATAATTACTGTACACATAAATTTAATTTCATTTTTTTTTCATGATTGTTGTAAGGCCTTCTGCATGTCTGCAGAACCATTTTTACCTAATTTGTACAGTTTTGTCTACTTTTCTTTTTCTTCCCTACTTTGTCTTCATTGAAAAGCAATAAAGAAATATTAATAAATAAAAATAAAATAAATAATTAAAAGATTAAATAAAATAAAACAATCAATGAATAAACACATAAAAAAACAAATAAATAAACAAACTAAGTAATTAATAAATGTATCCTGTAATTTGGTCAAACTGCATGTGCAAAAAAACTGCAAAACTGTGTATTGCACCATTAAAACTGGCATTGGCAAACATTTCTTACAATTAGAAATACAGTCTAAAGTTTACGAACACTTAAAATTCGAGTCAGATTAAATTCGGAGCTAAAAACAAATATAAATAAATTCTAATAAATAATTAAATTCTTTCAGTAGCACTAGAAAAGACTTACATGCATTTAACCTTCGACCATGCTGTTAGTTTCGTCATTGGGCTAATAGATGGACTTCTACACTGTTCAAATGTACCGTGTTATTTTATAGTCAAATACTGAAGGTAAAAAGGCTTTCTTGCCTAAAGGTCCAATAGACTGGAATAACTTACCTGCTGATTATTAATTTATTACATCATCAAACTTCATCATATTTTACTTCAAATTATACATGCTATTCTAGAAGATGTTATTGAATATGTTTTGTTTGGATTCACTGATTCTATATATTTTTTTATTTGATATCAGCTGTTATCTTAATGTTGTGGTATTTAGTTTTTTCTTTCTCCCCTTTAATAAATGTTCGTGATTTGTTATTAGTTATTGTTGTTCAATGATATAATGTCAGTCTATGTTTTTTTTTGGTCTTCTTTAGATGTTATTATATTATGATTATGTTGTGGGACCCTCTCGAAAATGAGATTTTATATCTCAGAGGGTTCATCCAAATCAATAAATTCTAATAAAAAAAAAAAATACTAACAAAATTTGTAAGCATCTTAGAAATGCATAATTATTATACAGAACATTTCACAAGCTGAGAAAATGTCTAAAGTTTTTTAGCAATTGCTCTTTGATGAAAACAAAAGAGAAAAAAATCTTAATGAGTGCTGCTGTGAGTGGATTTTTGCAGTCAAGAGACTAAAATTACTGAGTAATGATGTCGTAATAACAAGAAAAGAGATATTATGAATAATAAATCTTCTTATGTTATCAAATAAATATTAATTAGCCAACGTTGTTCCGTGACGTCTTTGGACTGAGATACAGTATCAAACCATGTTGCTCGAGTTTACATGATCTAATATTAATATGAATCCAAAAATTGAGCCTGTAGACATTAACAGTGTTCCCACTCTAAAACAAATGTCAACTTCACTCACTTTAGCAAACTAAAAAGCTGAGTTTCCATGACCTTTTCACGCTATTTGTTACATAATAGCAGCGTGGCCATTGTTTTCTTTACTTTCAAAACTTAAGCCAAACTTTTTCTTATATTATTCGCAGATGTATTGACCATCTGTTAAGCCTAGTAATTTACACATAATTGAGTGAGTCTAACACAATATTAGAAAATAGGGTAACACTTTATAATAACTACACACTATAAATTAATTATTAAGCATTAGCAAAAAGTGAATTCATTATCCGTTAAGCATTAACTCTACATTAATAAACGTTAGTAAGCAGTTTATAACTGCAGCTACAAATGCTCTATTCTTGACTTATAACCACATTTAAAATGTGCTTAATAATTGTATTTTCATACTTAGTAAATGATTAATTTTTCATTATATACAAACCAATTGTATTTAAGAGTAGTTGAGGGTTTTTAGGATCATTCAGAATGAGTTAGTAAATGATTAATAAACGATTGAAATCAACATTTATATGTCTTATTATTCAGGCACATACTAATAGTCAACTAATATGTCAATAAATGCTTTATTAACTCAACTTCATGCAGTTCTGTGACCTAATCTAAAGTGAGAACAAATCATGCTTTATAAATCCTTTATAAATTACAAATTTGTCTATTATATAATGTAAATGACTATTTGCTAATGCTTAATAAATTATTTAAAGTGTGTAGTTATTATAAAGTGTTACCGAAAATAGTTACTTCCACTTGACTTAATTAATTGCTGTTTGACAAGTCGGAAAGAATACAATGAACATGCTCAGAAACCCTTCATTTTAAATAAGCAAGTTCAGGTGCTTCTGGTGAAATGTCATGCCATTACACACTCAACACTTTTAAGATCTGGTTTGTTTAAAATCAATGATCTTCACTGCCTGATTGAGATATGATATGAACTGGTTCTCACTCCAGACAAGAAGCATTAAATTCTATTATTCCATGTCATATCATATCTTTAAATTACATAAATTTGTTTTGCCATCCTTACGTTTCATGTATCTCTTTTCTATTGTGTACTCTGTCCTGTTCTAGGTGTGCAACCATTGGTCGAGAAGGCTGTCAGTCAACATTATGATGCACTCGACGTACCAATCAGGAGCTGGCCCACCACGTATAAAAGGCATGCACTTGCGCTGTTTAGCAGGAGCACTTGGCTCACCATCAAACTCCTCACTTCAGTCGGCCAGCCTGTTCATTTGTGTTTTGTATAGTTTTGTTGCTTTTGTTGTGTAGTTTATCTCGTGTTTAAGTGATGTATTTATTAGCTAAGCTTGTGCAGCTTAATTTAGTATTTATTAAGAAGTCGAATGATCTTTATGAAAATTGAACTCATCAGACAACCTCTTGTTTGCTAATGGCTAACAGTGTGTACTTTACGGGTACTGTAGTAATTTTGAGCAGCATAAGTTTTTGTGTTAATTTTTGGAGGAGGTGACACAATTGTAATAGTTTTGGAAGTTACGGTTTTGTTCCTGTATTTATTTTTGTTTAGTTACTTAGTTTAGTGGGATGGGGTTAGGTTCCATTGCTTTGTTATATTTATTTCTTTGATTAAGCAAAACTCCTGTTTTTCATTTAATTTGATTATTTAAAATTACATTCTAAATTCCTATATTCATTGTCTAATATGCTTTGTTTAACGAATTGTAATTTTTTTTTTTATTTATCCAGCGGTTATGTGTTTTCATTTTCACCCAGCACTATTAAAGACTTACATCTCATCCAATTTAATAACTTAATAACTTAAATAAATAACAACCACATTATTTTCAATGGAGTTTTTGCACTTGCCTGCTGCTCCCGTAAATATTTCTGGAGATCATCAAATATGTCCAAGGAGCTTTGTTTTCTTTTTTTAGTTTTTGTTTTGGTCCACCAGAGGCCGCTTTTTGAGATCTCAAATTTCTCTTGCGAGTGCCATCCATGCCTGCTCTTCTCGCGTAAATCCATCAGAGACCGCTGTTGACTGACCAATCGACTGACCCACCCTCCCCCTTCCCTAAACCCAACCAATAGTATTTTAAAAAAGCACAGATTGACACACCTACTTACTTCCCTAAACCCAACCAACAAATTCAAAAAGCAATTCAGAAAAAGCAGAGCCCTCGTCTGATTTTTACCACATTCTCACCGTTATTTTATTTTTTGGCCACTGTTTTTGTCTCACCCGCTTTCTGGAGATGTTTTTTCACTGGACTCGAACCCCGTCGCCATGGTCATCTCCCTTTTGCGTCTCAAGTGCACTCACGTACATGGTGAGCTAACTGGACAAACTAGTAACAGCAGGAAAGCCGTCCATATGGAGGTAAGCGGTAAGCTGGTAAGCCCGAAAAAAATGGCATCATACCGCCCCGTAGCGTTCGATTAAAAAATAAAATGCAGCCATACGTACTTCTGGCTACATAATTCATGATCTCCAGAAATGTATATAGGGCTACATTTTCAGAATGAGCATATGATGTTGGTAACAGTTGTCATAAACATGCATAAAATCTCATTCACATTAAACATTTTCATGACAGTCTTGTGAACACTATGAACGCTAAAGTGTAACCAAGAAGTTTGAATATATTTAGACTAGAAACTAGACAAAAACTCTAAGACAACCATAGTTTTGCAGTGTGGGCTGAAAATAAATGGGAGTCTATGTCCAGCCTGCGTCAGACTCTAAAGCAACCAGCTGTGAGGGTTAGCCGAGTCTCTTGTGTGTTTTTCAACGAGTAGCTTTATTTGTTTGGTGTGGGTTGAGTAAGTGTTAATGGACCAATAAGAGCTTTCAGATGAGTCACTTATGAGGCTCCATTTCACTATACGCTGCCTTAGAAAGCAGCAGCCTTTTTAGACAACAAGACAGCTCACTAACCTTCAGTGTGAAATACGACTATAACGGTGAAATGCGCTAGGAAGAATTGGGAACGCTTCTTGCCTGTGGTACATTCTGTTAGTGGATTCGTAGTCAGGGTTGATGGGGTCTTCGTATCCAATCTCCGCCGCTCGGCTTCTCTCCTGGTACATGTAAGCCCCCCTCACCAACTTGGCAGCGAAACACCAGCCCTCCCTTCTGGAAAGCTCAACGTCCATGGACACATTATCGAATGCCTCCTGAGCACAGAGAATTCATTACGCTCTGCCAGATAACTTGATTTTAAATCCAACATTTTAGGAAATGAAGCGCTTTCGCTTTGCTCTTTAGAATTTGAGAAACATATATTCACTAGGCCTGTCATGATATCTATGTTTTTGTTGTAGGATATATTGCACCAAAATATATTGTGATAAACAATATTATTGTCATTTTAAGACTGTTTTATGTCACTTATTATGTAATGCCAGAATGACAGCATAATAGCATCTCAATGCATGTACACTCTTCCAAAGGACACATCATATTTTATTCTTAAGAATATTTCATTTGAATTTATTTATTTGAACTATTTCATTAAAATGTATATTGTAAAAAAAATAATAATAATAATATTAATAAATGTTAACAAAAAAGTGAAGGGTAAAAAGTAACATAGGCAGCAATATCTGCTACCAGATCTATTTTCAGTTGTCGGACACCCGCATGAAAATATTCTATAGTAATTTATAGTAAATATTATAGTGTTATTTTAACCATACCGACACTGACAACAAAGCTGTTGTGCAATTATAAAATAGTTTTTTTTAATGTATTTGATATACACTACTGGGGTAGTTTGGGGTAATTTTTTGTGGAGTCTACAAAAAAAAATATCACAATATCAATAATTTTTTTTTTTTTTTTTTTTTAGGAAGGAAGCTCTTAGAAGGAAAGTTTCGGTATAAAACAATTAATGTCGCATTACCAGGCAACCTGCATTTCCTCCAGAGTTTCATGCAATTTCAGGTGTTTCATTTGCACTTTAACTGCAGTTCACTCTCATTCTGCATATTTTCATTCAGAATGTTTTAGGGGAATTTGATACCGCATCGTGGAAAGAAAAAACCTCTCCATTTCAGGACTCGTGTGATCCTTTAAGGTAATCAAAAATCGCTGCTTACATGGTAGACTCTTAATCAGGATTATCTTAATCAGTGGTTCTCAAACTTTTTTCATCAAGTACCACCTTAGAAAGCAATTGTCTCTCTAAGTACCACCATACAGAGCAGTATTGAAATACAGCAGTGTAGTAGGCAGAGTAAAGCAGCTACAGCTTTGCACAGTTCAAAAATGTGGCAGAATAAATCCTACTATTGAGAATATTTATTACTGTCAGTCACTTTAAACATTATAAATAGTCTAAACATTAACACTGTACTGTGCTTATTTGTAAAAAACACAAACAAACAAACAAAGAAAGAAAGAAAACAAAGAAAAAAAATCCTGTACTTAAATGTAAAGTATTGCCATATAGTAGCCGACTCATCAACACCAGGAAATGTTGCCTGGAAATATAGGCTATGTCATCATATATTTGTATATAAATCTTTTTTTTTTTAAATTTTGAAATATATGTAGCATATACACATGACAAATTAGATTCCTCCGCGTACCAAGCCCGCGTACCACTAGTGGGACACGTACCACAGTTTGAGGACCACTGATCTTAATCATAGTAGCAGAGTATTGGTGTCCACGTAAATGTACTGTAGTGAAAGTGGCAGATGAAGTCGCAAGCTGTCAATGAAAGCCCTATTCTCTGCCTTTAAGCTGCTTCCATGAGCCCTCACATTTCATAAGTTTGACGTGTTTCCCCCCTAAATGCAACTTTTGTAAAGAGTCTACATGGTTTTAGGGTCCGCTGTACTGCGCACATTGTCTCTGTGTGTTTGTGTGTGCGTAGTACACTTAGAATCCAACATGGAAATCATTTTTGTTTGTTATTGGCATTGATTGTTTTGAAATTCAAATGGCATTTACAAACCTGTGTTTTTATTACTGTAAAAATATGGCATTGCGTGATTAATCATGATTGATTACAAAAAAAGTGTGATTAATTACGATTTTCTTTTATCATTTGACAGCCCTGTGAATAGCATTACGGGAGCTTGATCTCTTCTTTGTCGACTTTTGAGGTTAAAAATTCAACTCTACAGTTAAACAAAGTGACTTAATTGACATTTTACGAGTTTGAAATAGGCTGCATTTACACAGCAGATCTTGATGGTCAATTCCGATTTTGTGACAGTATTCGATTTTTTTGCTGACCTGCTTACACCATCTTTTAAAGGTGACTCGTATCCGATCGTCTGCATTTACACAGCACACGGCAAAGGTGCAATGAGCAGGAAAAAAAGAGCGGGCGCTGACTCACAGCTGATAATTAAAGAGTGCTCTTTTCTCTATTCCTGTATGTAATCTGTTCACAGCTTTTGACAAGCTGTTTGACTATGATTTATGACAGAAAGGTTCTCATTTGTCCATTTTCTTTTCATATATAGGCTTTTTTAAACCAGTAGGCATCCTAATGTAATGTCCATGGCATGATTTATGCACGTGATGTAGCTATGCACTAGTTTTATATTAGTTTATATTGGTTACGTGGTGGACATTGCACTCTTTTGCTCTCATAAACATGCTTAAATACCTGTGCTAAATGACAATATAAAAGCTGTTTAAGTCCTCGTGTATGAGATTTAAGGTGTGGGACTGCTGAAGTCTGTTCTGGAAAGAAAGCGTCAGACTTGACGTTATTCGCTATGGTTTTTAATGATACACGACTCGCATTGACAGGTGAAAATTCGATCTACCTGCTTACACTGCAGACAGGAGAACACAGATCTGATTCATATCGGAAAAATGTCCACATATAAACGAGGCCTGAATCTGATTTGAGTAAATCAGAATCTATGTGATTTGTTCCTGCTTACATGTACATGGGGCATATCTGATCTGTGCCACATGGGAGAAAAAAAAAATGGAATTGAGTCACTTGAACAGTGCAGTGTAAATGCAGCCATAATGAGATGAGATTTTTGTTTGTTTATTTTACCATCCTGATTCTCTTCTGTTTTGTATTTTATTAGCCTAAATAACCATAACCTAAATAGCCAGGTCTGTCATGTTTTAAGGTCCCATTCCCCCTTGTTTTCCGTAGTGTTCCGTGCTATTCCAACAGTGTTGTGAGAAAATGCAGCACATTTTTGTAAATTGTTTGCGTTGTGAGGATTTGCAGTACATTTTATTGCAATGTGCATAAAGTTTATACATAAAGAGCATTCCACAAAATATGTTATTCATAAAAAAGTTCAGCAATAAGTATTTCTAAATGTTAAACAGAAGGTGGAATATACTGTATTTAGCCTCTGTATATAGCAATATTGGTGCAAGAAACCATAACATTTAAAGCATTAAAATCCTAACCTTATTATTCTAGGAAAGCAGACTCTTTTATGTTACCATCAGAGTTTACGCACATGTCTTTAATTTACAATCTGGACTTGTTTTCCTTTAGAATTAATGCAGACTAATGCCGGATTAAAGATAGACTGCAAGCACAACAGTGATACGTTGTACAGGGACATCAATAATTCAATTTTAATACGATTAAGACAATACTCTGATTAAGACTCTACCATGTAAACAGCGATTTTAGATTACCTTAATCAGGCTAAAGTCATAATCAAAATAAACAGAAATCAAATTAGGACATGTGGAGTATGCTGATTTTAGTCGTGTGAATCAAACTAACACTGTCGTGTAGGACTTTCGCCGCATTTTGCGACAGGATAGGCTGTTTGACACTATTCTCTGCACCTATTGACCTTATTCTAAAATGCAGAAGTGCGCCTGTTTTCGCGATTGTCTTAGAACTTCCGTTTCAGTCGCCTATGGGAGAAATGACAAGAAATAATAAACGGCAAAAAACGGTCAAACTACTTGCTCTACAAACAAATGTTTGCATGACTATACAGACCAAGTAGAATAATATAACAAGGAAATATCAGTTTGCAACATCAAACAGCGAAACAAGCAGTTTTTAATGTCTAAAAATGAATGGAAGTGAATGAGACGGGAAGTCTCGTGCCAAAAAGATTCAAATGGCAGCGCCCGCTCGTCTGCGGAGAATAAGGTCAATAGAGTCAGTGAAGGATCACAGACACCTGCATCGTGAAATGCAAAGTTTTTCCTTTACAGCATGCGGGATCAAATTTCATTAAAACAACACTCTTCCAGCAGTTCATATACGCATTCAATATCTCGCTTGTCATGGGGGCATGCATGAAATATCCCAGGATGAAAGTGCTAAGCTGCAGTTAAAGGCAACTAATTAAAAATGAAACACCCACAATTACTGGAAACTCTGGAGGAAATGTGGATAGTGTGGTGACGCAATGAGCTTAATCGAATTATGTGCTATTCTTGTCAGGATCATAAAAGAAACATTCAAAAAGCAACTCATGTAAACACCTTCATTATATTATTGTCTTATTCAGATTAAGTCAAATAATTAGATTTCTGGTGTCCATGTAAACATAGTTAATGTTAAATGTCAGTTTTTATGTCTTCTTTTGCATTGTGCAGTTGTTATCTTTAATATCAGCATGGTTTCTATACAGCATCTCTCAGTAGATAAATCCCAGAATATCATCGTCTGATCCATGTTAACACTATTCATACGTGTCAGACATGCGTGTGTGTGCATGTGTGTCTGTGAGGCTCACTTTGAGGTAGCACTGATAGGTGTTGAAAACGACAGCTTTGTCTCTGTTGAAGCTTCTCTTCATCTCCACTGTGAGTCTGCTGATCGCAGGCTGGAAATACGTCTGTTCAGCATCCACCATCAGCCTGACACCATTTTCCACCGCATGCTGTTCGGCACATGAGAGGGAAGACAGCAGTACAGTGAGTTAAAAACACATTAATCAGCTGACAAAAAAGATAGCATTTTAATTGATGTAGCATCTGTCTTTCCTGACACAACCAAGGATTTGTCAACAAACATGTAACAACCTCAGCAATAATAGCGATGATATTGATGATATAGAGGTGCTAACAAGCTTTTGCTCAGCTTTTGACACTATAGACCATGAGATCCTTATTTCCGGCCTTGGGAATTTGGTGGGCATTCAGGGATCTGCTCTTAAATGGTTTAGATCTTATTGGTCAAAAATAATCTTTTGTGTTAATGTTAGTCAGACCTTTATATCCTCCAGGCCCCTGACATGTGGAGTTCCGCAAGGGTCTATCCTTGGACCTATTTTATTTTCTTTTTTATATTTTACCTTTAGGATCTATTTTTTGTAAATATAGGGTGGCTTTTCATTCTTATGCTGACAACACCCAGATTTATGTCCCTCTTAAAAGTAAAGATAATAATGGCCTTGACTCTCTTACAAGATGTCTAATCGAGGTTAAGACTTGGCTGTCGTCAGTTTTTTGAGTTGAGTTTGCATAAGCCGTACCCCAGACCCCATCTTTCAGGTGGACTCAGGTAGGTTTCTTGGGTGTTAACCCAAGGTCAGAAGACATCGTTCACATTAGTTAAACGTACTGTACTCTGATGTCAAACAAAACCAGGTGCGGACCAAAAGTGCTAGTGTGAAAGCATCCTCAATCAAATCAAAATCAAAACCTTTATAATTTTCATCTTTTTAGTAGAGGCCTACATTTTTTAAGTTAGATTTTTTTTCCTCAAATGTTGGTCACTGAACGAATGAATAAATTAATTGACCAAATGAATGAATCAATCAATGAAACTTAACTCAGTTTTTTTTAAATAAAGGTCTAATTTTTAAATTTTTTTACATTTTTTTTAAACCTCAAAAATTGATTGAATGAACGCTTAAATTAATCAAATCAAATCCATAAACTTTAATGACTTCCGTCTTTTAAATAAAGGAGTATATTTGTGTTTTTATGGTTAAATATAATTTTAAAATCTCAAATATTGGCTACTGAATAAATGAATAAATGACTGATTGATCGAACAAACAAATTCACTTTAATGACTTCAGACTGTTCAAATAGAGGCCTTCATTTGTGTTTTTTAAAACCTATTTTAAACTTTAAACTTTTACTACAGCATAAATGAATGAATGAATGAACAAACCAACGAATCAATCAATCAATCAATCAGTCAATCAATCAATCAATCAATCAATCAATCAATCAATCAATCAATCAATCAATCAATCAATCAATAAATCAAATCAAATCCATCCATCCATCCATCCATCCATCCATCCATCCATCCATCCATCCATCAATCAATCAACCAACCAACCAACCAACCCATAAATTAATAAATAAACCTTAATGACTTCAGTCTTTAAATGGTAAACTACATCTGTTTTTTATTTAACCTAGTGTTTTAAACTTCAAATGTTGACTACCAAACAAATTAACGAATGAACGAATGAATAAATGCATCAATCAATCAATCAATCAATCAATCAATCAATCAATCAATCAATCAATCAATCAATCAATCAATCAATCAATCAATCAATCAATCAATCAATCAATCAATCAATCAATCAATCAATTAATCAATCAAATCAATCAAATCAAATCAATCAATCAATCAATCAATCAATCAATCGATTACTTAATCAATCAATAACTAAACCTTAATAACGTTAGTCTTTTAAATAGTGGCCTACATCTGTGTTTTTATTATTAAACCAAATTTATTTTTAAACCTCAAATGTTGACTACTGAATGAATCAATGGATCAATCAATCAATAAAAGAATCACTCAATCACCTAATAAACCTTAATGACTTCAGTCTTTTAAATAGAGGTCTGTGTTTGTGTTTTAATTTTTAAATAAATTTTTTTAAAACCTCAAATGAACGAATATTAATGAATTTAGTCTTTTAAATAGAGGGTCTGTATTTTATAGATTATTTTACATGATTTATTTAAACTGTGATTCTGAACTCGAAGTCTCAATCATCCTCAGCATGAAAGAAATGTCCCAACTCTGACTTCTAAAACCCTTCGATCTGTATATATTCCAGGAAACTAATCTGGAGAACAAAAGTGTTATACGAGATCTGGAAACTTTCTTTGATTTGGTACTTCCAGGCTGAAGTTGAAGTGAGTCACACAGCTTGAATACCTCGCGGCCCTTTCACAGCGCGACATAAACCCGATACATGTTCCTCACATCAAGCTGACGGGGCGGAACAGCTCTCTAACCTCCACACTCGGCTGAAGGCTTTCTCACAATCGATCTCTGTTACAGTCTTCATCCATGACTGTCGCTTAGACCATGACCTGCTGACACTCTGCTTCAAAACCACAGGAGAAATGAGCGCACCTTCGCCAAGACGTCCAGTCGCTGGAGCATCCGTTTCATCTGCCTTTCCTCTTCCTCGGTAAACCTGGATAGAAGAGGCTCCAGCTGACCGGTCTGCTCAACAAAAAGAAAAATCAGAATTTGAGAATATATGGGTGCATATTATTTTACTTAGAAAACGTATCTGCTCAAAGGTGCTGTAAGTAAGTTTTTGACTCTTCTAAAGCATAAAAATACCATAATTTGTTTGCTAAGTGAACATTCTTGTTTATCTGAAAACAATGCTAAAGTCAGATATTCTACTTTAAAAATGTGCGTTACGTGCCAGAACGCCTGTCTTTGTTTTTGTCTCTTTAACCCGCCCAATGCCAGTTCAGCCAATTACATTTCAGCACCCCGGGTTGCCTTTGTTGAAAACAGCGTATTTCATTCACTCAGTCATGAAGACTCTCAGAGTAGGTGTCCATGACTAAAATGCGACCTCAGGTGGACAGTAGCAGACTCCGAAATGAGATTCAGAGTTTCACATGAGGTTAATAATTAGCAAATAATATATATATATTACGAATGTAAACATTAGTTAAGCATGTTACATTGTAACCCCGTGTCCTTACAACATGCTACGTGACGAGATACACAGTATTAAGCAATTTGGCTGTTTGCACCAGACGAAACATGACAGAAATGTAAATACAGGCATTCAGAAGCACAGAATAGTGCACTCACTGCACTCCAGCAAAATGGTAAGGTTTATAATCTAATTATTTAAAATGCATGGGAAATGGCTTTGGCATGTTAGTTGCTGTGGACTATGCAACAAGCTATTGTAAACAAGCTAACGCTAACTAGATAAGTATATTTTAATCCCTAATATAGCAGATTCATGGAAAATTACATCAGTATCAACATTTCTGCAGCATCTAATCTATGAATGAGTCTACATCAATAACATTAAAGAGAATCACTTTATTTAAAGTGAATAAAATACCCTACTAGTCTTGTCACAATATTGGAGTTTGATACTAATCGGTACTGAAATTTTAAAAAACAGTCATTTCCTGCTAACATTTGAGCGCTGTTGACCCTGTTAAACAGCACTGTTATGCCACTGTGTTCACAAATTCAACAGAAATGACTGTGAGGTCACAGGCTCGTATCTGGCCTGGTAAAAGGTGTGGTACTGTATAAATAAATAAAAAACTTATTTTTTAGTTGTATACCTCATTTTCTATTTTATAATGACACTTATGTATGTATGTATGTTATGACATTTTAAGTTTTATCTGAATTAGCTTGTCGGATGTTCAACATTACCACACTTTTTGATGTACCAAAAACATTTCATAAAGATTTGGAATAAAGAAATATGAAAAATATTTATTTTTAAAATACAAATGTATTACATTAAATATCATTCGAAAAATAGAGAATTATAACTGTTAAAGTTTTAAATTAAAAACTGGTCTATTGTCATTCGTTAGGCAAATAAGATGCCTACCGGCCGAGTACATTTAACTTTCCTCAGTCATAATTTGGCCATTCCAATAAAAAAAATATGATGATAATAATAATAATAATAAAATAATAATAATAATAATAATAATAATAATGTAGAGCTTCAAAATTGTTCTAGCCTCTCTTGTAAAAACAAAGAGTACATTTGAAAATTCATGGATAACAACAGCCAAAATAGTATTCAAATTCAAAAGGGTTATAAATACGCAGCTCCTTTTGCATGGAATAATCTACAAACAAAGGTGCAGTTTAAAGAATTGATTTAACTAGATGCTTTATAAAAAAAAATTTAAAAAAATCATTAAAGTATAAATCAATTAGAAATTAAAACAGGCGTGTAGATGTTTTGAATAGTTTGTCAATGTGTGATTCATATTAACTGTCAAATGTTTTTTGTTTGTTAGACCCATGTGGCATGTCTACTGCCTAATCTTGGCCAGGACGCTCTTGTAAAAGAGATTTTTAATCTCAATGTGTCTTTCCTGGTAAAATAAAGGTTATAATAATTAAAAAAAAAAATAATAATAATAATCCCCTTTTTGTGATTTACAACTTTTATTGTCATTTGTCATTTTTTGTTTTAAGTATAAGGTTCAAATTTAAAGTCATTTGTAAAATTTTTTTTTTTTCTATTAAAAACAAGCCAGCAGCAAAAGAACACTTCACTTACGGTCAGATTGTAAAATTAAAATATTTGTTAGCATTGGCCAAAACTGATTAGCTGAAGTCCTGCCGTAGTGACAGCCAAAAGAGGTATCCGCTTGGTCATATTTCAAAAGGTTATTTTCACAACTTATGATGGCATAGCAATCCAAATAGGACAAATAAGCTCATGTATGGAACAAATTCTGGACCTTAATCATTGAGGGGTGGGTCTTCCGAAACACCTGAACCCCTCCTGGCTACATGGCTCAGTTCACAGAACTCACCGCTGTTTACCGAGTGTAACCACAGATACAGTTGATCTATCAGCTGATCGCTTGTATGTCAGCTTATAAACAGACCAGGGGCCTCATGTACGAAGACTTGCGTGGAAATCATACTAAAACATCTGATTTTTTTTCTGCGTACGCACATTTACAGCTTTGTGCGTACGCAGAAAAAAAATCAGATGAAACACTGCGTACGCCGAATCTCAGGCATAATTGTACATCCGAATGAACGTGAAACTGAGCGCAACATGCACGAGCACAAAACCCCTCCCTGCCTCCTCCCCCGTATGAATATGCAAATGACTCTACTTTGGCAAAACCCAACGAAAAAGCAAAGGCAAAAGCAAGCCAAAAGAGAAACTTTGAACAGAATGTGAATTGGAGGTGCTGCTTTCGGAGGTAGACCGGAGAAAAGCGGTGTTATTTGCAAGTTTGTTCTCCGGAATTAACAACAAAAGAAAAAAAAAAGAGTGGGAGAGTTTTGCTGATGCGGTTAACACAGTTGGGTCTGAACATCGCACTGAGTGCATTAGAAAAGAAATAGTGTGATTCATAGGTGTAAAATGTTGCAGTACCCTTAACAGTCTCAGTGGTGCAGCTCGTAAGAGGCATGTCAACATGTTTTGACACGTTCGAGCATGAACTCGGCTCGAATCCAGCGTCTTATGAACTCTTTCTTCTTTTTCCCCCGCTACATATCAGATTTTGCCAACTATTTATCACGAGAAAGACAAGTAGGAATCATTAATAAGTTTGTGCATCATATTTTATTTGCACATTTATTGAATGGAAACGTTTCTGATTCCTGTATGCAAATTCATCTTCAGATAGTGTCTTTATAGCAATGTGTGTGCAGTAGATAGCTCAGATTACATTGGGAAAACAGGCGTCCGCTGCAAATTGCGCTTTAATGTTTAGCTGGTCAACTGTATGGTATGGAAACCTTATATACCTGCTAGATGAACCCGTCTCATACAGCTGCCATTGCAAGGCTCAGACACTTTGTAGAGAGGAATTTAACACAACTGCCTCTAGGAGTCGCCAATGGAAATAAAACAGACACGCACAAAAAATGTGCGTACGCCAGCCATGAAGCTGGCGTGGAGCTGCGCACATTCCCACGTTCAGTTCATTGTTAGTAAATCCAAACGTGAGCGATTCTGAGCGTGAAACCTGGCGTACGCAAAGTTTTTGTGCGTACGCAGCGTTGATACATGAGGCCCCAGCTGATCTTCGCGGCTTCAAAATGCTCCTGTATCTGTAGTTACACTTAGCAAACAGTAGTGAAATGCGGTGAACTGACGACCTTCACAGCCAATCACAGTCATTTCTGTTGTGCACATGAACACAATGGCAAATCAGCGCTGTTTAAAAAAACGTGCTCAAATGTTAGTGGGAAATGGACGTTTTAGTACCGACTGATATCGAATTCCAGTATTATTACAGTACTATAGCCTACTTACTGGAGTTCAACATTAATTGAGCAGCAGCCACATAACTCGTGTGTGGAGAGTAGGTGAGATGAACTGGAAAAGCAGGCAGTGGGCCAAGCCATTGTGAGGAAGGGGAGGGGGAGCGTTTGTTTTTCTGCTACTTACCCAATTATTTTAGGTATACATACATATATTTTTCTTAATAGACAGTCTGTTTTTATTTTACAATTATTTTGGGGGCGACAACCCCCAGATGGGGAGGGGGATTTACACCCATGGCGTGAGGAAAAAATCTTAAAACTGTGAAGTGTTTATAGAGCCAACTACACCATTAGTAATCGATGACCCTCTTAGTTTATGATGCGGTTATAGGACATCTGTTTCTTACCTGCAGGTTTGGGACAACAAGTAGATCAGATATCTTCATTCTTTCATCTATCAGTCTGTTCCAATCCAGCATGTCCACAATGCTTTGGAGAACACATAAAGCACATCATTTAAGTTCCAGAAGCCTGTTTTTTTCTTAACACCAAATGACTTCCATGAATCGTTAGAGAACTGGTCGATTGTACAGAGGAAAGTGCTCTTATATGGGTTTAGCTACTCGGAGGGTCAAGCAGAGTAATGGAGCATGTGTGGAGGAGTCCTCAAGTAGTTCATAAGATAACTTCATTGTCTGCCATTGATTGAGAAGATTTACAAGTCTGAGTGTCGGAACGGCTACGGGAAGCCGGTGTTTCTCACCCTGATGAGTGCAGTCGTCCATCAGAGAAGAAGCTCTGAATGTTGCCTTCGGCTCCTAGCCTTGCTAGACACATCTGTAAAGACAACACACACCTTCAATCATCAGAGCTCCCATTTTAAGCAACGTCAAATACTTTGATTTCACTGAGGGCATGTCTGCAAGTACACTAGTGTTTTTTATAATCAAAGTTTTCCCTGTTTTTTTGGTTTTTTTGATTGTTTGTTTTTTGTTTTTAAATATCCATCCACATGAAAACAGCAAAATGCACTGTGATGCATGTTAAGGTCACGCTGAACCAACAGGGGGCGATAATGACACTTATGCAGAGTTTACACCAAATGGGGAATAAAGTATTTTTACAAGATTTCATACAAGTCAACGCAAAAGTGAGAACAGAGGCGCATAACTGTCCCGCGGTGCTTTTGCCGCTAAGGCACAGAAGTTGTCTCATTAGCTTCTTCGCCATTTGGTGTGAACACAGCCATGTTGGCCAATCAGAAAGGAGAAAAACCATGCACACACTGACATAATGAGGCAAAAAACCTAGTTGTAGTGTTCACACGACCACACTGTCTCCAGAGTTTAAGAAAATCTTCACCCTGGCCAGAGTTTAGAAAGTTTGGGTTTGATACTCCGAAACTAAAAATACCTGTGTTCACATTGACAGGGACTAAGTCAATACTCTAATTTTAATACAATTAAGACAAAACTCTGTTTACATGATAGACTCTTAATCAGAGATTTTTGATGAACTTAAACTGGCTAAAAAGACGGAATAAATACAAATTGAACTGAATTGAAGGACATTTTAAACATATTGTTATCAGCTATCATATGGTGTGAAATGTATGCTTGTATGTTATGCGTGTGTGTTTCACTTTGTAAATAGCAAATGCGTCACGGCACGCCGCAACTGACTCTTAAAGGGAATGTGAGATGAGGCTCTGATTGGTTTAATGCTATTCATGTTCAAAACACACCCATAACTCATTAAGAAAATGAGTACAACACTGTTAGATCATGGGCCGGGGTGCAACCTGCATTTTTCCATCCCTAAAATAGCAAAAGTGGATTCAGACATGCTCTTAATGATTTTGCGCCATGTGCTTTTAGACTTTGCACCTAGATGGTTAAAATAGAGCCCTATATGTTGTATTTTCTGTTTCTACATTATGCAATTTACCCACATACGATGACTTCCACTTTTCAAAACTTCCTAATGAAATAAAGATTTAGTATTTTATTTTAATACATACAGTATCGCTGATTATGTGACTAAAGATCACTGTAATGAAAGATTATCATCGCAAGCATCAATTCCCATATTGCACCCTTGAGAAAAATCTCCACTCAAGTTTCTCCATTGCAAATGACCTTGAATAAAAGTCCCATTTAAACCGATACTACATACAAGTGTCTGCTATAAGTCTACTTCATTATTTATCGTCATCTTAATTAGATTCTGCCATTAAAATTCTGGACAGTCATATACTGTAGCCTATAGTGGCTTTGCTGCAGGTCAGATTTTCTACAGCTGCCTTATACAGTAATCTTATACAGATATCATACTTTAGTGTTGCTTGATCTGTGCATTTGGCCGAAGACTGAACCCAAAATCATACCTGCAATTGCTCTAGATCCAGTTTCTGCTCCAGCACCTCCATGCCGTCTTTCCCCTGCTTGCTAGCAAGGAAACTGAAAAAGCGTCTCCATTTCACCAGCACTTCGGAGAACTGGAGCTGCAGACGCCCGGGAGGGGGGAAGGATGAGGAACCTGGTTAGTTCATAGAGGTGACGGATTTTAACCTGATGTTTTCTGATGAATGAACCCTGCGTGAACCACAGTCTTACCAGGAATTGCGGGCGCCCCAAGGCAGTCATCTTAATAGCCGAGAAACCATCTTCAGAACTTCCACCTGAGCAGGCAGGTGATTTTCTTTTAGAGTTATTTTAGTGGTAACGGCAGCAGTGAAAGTGAAACTGGCTCTTTTTTTAGAAGTAATTTTACAGGAGCGCTGAATGAATTC